ATTTATTATGTTGAAAGAAGGAGAGAAGAAACAAATGCTTGGCAGTGTGTTGCCAGCTTGCTTTTCTTATTTTCTGGCAACTTAAATGATTCAGTTTGGTAAAAGAGTCTATTTTTGCAGACACAAAATTAGACTCTGCTGACCAGAAGGATTAGGAGACATAAGACATGTTTTAACCTTAACAAATGCTAGAAGCCTCCAGGCAGGAACATATTTGCCAGCTGTACCATGCAAACCCTCTGTCTTCCACGTAGATGTAACCTGTGGCATCCTGGAGAAGAAAACTTAACAAATATAATGTGCTTCAGACTGTCTGGGTACACTTTTAGCTGATGAAAGAGTTAGGAGTGGTCAATAAATGAATTCAGTTAGCTTGAAATGTAAAGGTTTGGGTTTTTTTTTTCAGATTTCAGTCAAAGCAAACTGTAAGCAAGTTCTTTGCTAGTGTAGCTTTTAATTTGCTGCAGATGTAGTTCTACTGACAGTTGCTGAATAGCTTGTTTTCAACTCAAATAGATGGATTCAGTTTCCGAGCAACAATTTACAGCAAGGTGGGAGATTATATTGGTGATTTTACAATAATATTTATAGTTCACTGTGTGAGTGTTCATGCACCCATGTGTACATAGAAAGGAAAAGATGCATGTGAAGACACAAGGTGTGCATGTGACACTACTAACAGTTGGAAAACTCTTACAGGTCAAAATTATATTTTGGAGCTACTTTTATGTCAGCCATCCAGAAATATTTTGTTAAAAAACATATTTTAAGACACTTTTTAAAATACCACACCACACTCAAATTCCAGTATACATTTTCAGTAGTAATCAGAAGAGATCTGTGCTCTATCATCATGGTCTTGGTGATTTGGGGTTTGATTTTAATTGGACAGTTCTCTAGTTGTGTCTCTGGCCTCACATTTTCTTTGTACACAACCAATATACGTTTTGATCCTAAAAGGCAATAGCTAAGAAAGTCATTTCACAATTGCATGACACACAACCATCCCATCTTGGGACCTAACATGGGTTTGGGGGTTCTTCCTTGCTTCAGGACCAGTGTTGGTGTGTCTGCAGGATCAGTCAGGTCCAGGAGCTGCTTTGGCATCCTCATGGCTCAGGTGCTGATACAGGCACAGGAGGTGGGTGTTCACGCAGACATGAATGTGTTCATTTAGACTGGATCTTAGGAAGAAGCTCTTCAGCATGAGGGTGGTGAGACTCTGGAGTAGACTGCCCAGAGAGGTTGTGGATGACCCCTCCCTGGAGGTGTTTAAGGCCAGCTTGGATGAGGCCTTGAGCAACCTGGTCTAGTTGAGAGGTGTCCCTGCCCATGGCAGGGAGGTTGGATCTGATGGTCTCTAGGGTCCCTTCCAACCTAAGCCATTCTGTGTGGGAGGGAGAGGGAACTCAAGACAACTTCTTTGCCCGTTGTTAGGTCCTCTTCAAAGGATGATGAAACCTCAGCCTAAGTTAATTTGCATCTGTGTTTGGATTCTTGTTTTATGTGAGATTTGGGGCTTTACCTTGTGTGAAGTATCTGCCACCGTTCAGTGCTGCGGGGCGTTGTTATCCTGAGCCTCTTGTCACTGTTCTGTGCTGCTAACAGAGGTGGGAAATGAAAGAGAAAGAACAACTTGGAAGCATCAAGTTTTTGTCCTGTCTCTTTTTGTGTAGAGAATTCGTGGTGTTAGTGCAGACTCTGAAGGTCAGCAGACTGGAGTGCAGCGGCTGCAGACAGCGAGACGTCCTGTGTATGGATTTATAAATGGGCTGTGGGAAAGGGCGGGATGTGTTCTGGGTGCTGCCTCTGCTAATCCATAAGCGTGTGATGGTCAGGGGTCAGTGGGCATTTTAAGGCTAAGAATATTTTACAGAACAAAAAAAAGAAAATATAGTAGATACAAACCCACACGCACACTGGCAGGCTGCAGGTTGTGACCATCACTGATGGTGATGTCTCCAAGCTATGTGGGCACCCTTATTTGTCCAGAGGAGTCCTTCATCAGTTACATCTGGTGGTGATTTCACATCTTTCAGTTATTTTGGTGGATACACTGCTATCTTTAGTTTCCTTACTAACGCTGATGAAAGACAAAAATAATTATGTAAGGTATGCCGTTGGGTAAAAATGGTTATTAGAAGAAGAATAATAATAATCATACAGTCAAGTAACCTTACTCATATGTAGAGTGTTTGTCCTCTCCTTAATATGCCTAATAGTCCATAGGCATTAGGTTCTGAGCATGTTAATATGTAATGCCTCTGGTTCACAATGGGAGGTTTATTTTTCTTATAGACTTAACTAATACAGAGATTGTGCATTCTCTGTGCACATAAAATACTGAAAACCTTTTCATCCGTCTACTGGGTCTGAATGTTAAAGTTCTTTCAGCTGGAAAGGCAAGATCTAGTCAGGCTACAGAAGCACATATAAACAATGTTCACAAATTTCAGCCAAGTTAAAGTGAATCTCAGCATCATTTGGACCGATCTTTTGGCTTATTTGGAAGATTACAATAAAACCCAAGATTGAATTCTCTACCCGATTCAGTTTCTTATTGATTGAATCCTTTTAGACTCCTCTCTGATTTAACAGTGTATTTTTATTAAAGCCAAGCATACAAACATCAATTATCTAAGCTGCATCTAATTTCCTGCAACATTTTTTTCCTTTTGCTGCCAATGGATTAGAAGACCTGATTAGAATTCAGCTTGAAAGCTGAAAAGCAGATCCTTAAATGAGAATGTCTGCATCAGGAATTAAAATATCTATACTGGGCATAAAATCCTCCTCCTTATCCCTAATAATGTAAACACCCTTGGTTGAGTTGATGTGTCACATGTTTGGTGCTGTGTCCCTGAATTAGGAGCGTGTATTTGAAGGGGCAGAATAGTGTCTGTGGCTTGTCCACTATTAGAACCCATCAGTTGTATATTTTAACATCAAAGTGCTTATCAGAGATACCTCTCTACTGTAAAATTGAATATGAGAAGGGTTTGCAGGGCTTGATTTTTTCTTTATGTGTATTTACTCCCTAGGACCATGAGTGTTTGTGTGTGTGCACAAGCAAGGCAGAGAAGGGACCTTCTAAGCTTCCCCTCTTGGGAGCTTCTACAGAGTTCAGGATTTTGTAACAAAGCAAAGATGGGGTAAATAAATAATCACAATGACATCACCAACTTAATATCCAGAAAACCCTAAACTGGTAAATGTGGAAATTTAACATGACATTAAAATGTTGTCCCATGTCTAAACTAAAATCAAGTGAAATGTATGTTCTGATTTGACTGGATTATGAGTTTCCTTCTGATGCTTGGAGTGCTGTGCCTGTGGTGAGGAAGCTCTGTCACAAGCCACGTGCAGGCTTTATGGGCTGAA